GGGTCAAGGTCAGAAAAATAATCAGGGCAGCTCTGAGAGACCGTGGTTCCTGCCGGAGTGTCGTCCCAGCACAACCAGCCATCCCAGTCACGGTTGCAGTACAGTCCTGTAGGACCCACAAAACATGATAGCAAATGTGTATAGGTCTCAAATTCACATGGATAAACGTGAAACTTATAATTACAGAGAAATCTCACTGGCTAAAAACAAGACACACTAATATTTAGTTGGACTATCTTTAGGTTTGATGCAGTCACTTTGGCATTGTTTTGTGCAACGTCACATTTATTTCCATCTTGAGTTGCATTGTGTTTTAGACAAGATCTTGTACTGACAAAGGGAGCGTTAGCCTGCTGGGTACAGTCTTCTCCACTGCATCCCAAAGATTCTCAGTGGTTTTAATGTCTTGAGGTCCATGAACCACTGTTTCACAGTTTGAGCCTGTTGAATGATGACGTTGCCATCTGGTGAATATTCAGGTGGTCATTTGAGCTCTGTACAACTGAAGCAACCGGAGATCACAACACCTCCCCCACTGGGTTCTACGGTAGGCATTAGGCACGAGCACCTCATCCACCTTTCTTTTTTTTTACCTTTCTTGTCCATCAGTTTTGAACAGGGTTAATCTGGACTCATCAGACCACAAGACTTTTCTGTTGCTCCAAAGTCCGATCTTTATGCTACCTGGGAAAATGAGGCTTTTTTGCGATTCGCTTCACTGATAAGTATTTTTTCTTAAAGCTGCACAACTGTTCTTTTTGTTGGGAATGCTCTTACTTTCACCAGTAAACATAGCTGTGAGTTGTGCTGGTGGATTATTTACAATTTTTTTTAATGATTTGATGTCACCAAACATTTACACAACCTCTGATCACTTCACCATATTCAGAATTTTCCCCCCGATTACATTTCTTCCTCGTAGCAGTCCTCCCAGGTTTAAATAATGCATCGGGAAGTTCCTAATCCAGCTTTAGTAATTTCCGCAATATCCTCATTGTTTTTTTTTTGCTTAATGCAGGTGGATAATTTGACTTCTGAAACAGAGTAACATCTTATTCACAACCATGGGATGCATCACCAGACATGGCTGTTTACGAACTTGGAAGCTACTCACTGCATCCCTTGAGGTTAAATAACTTCCTATAAACCAAAACATTAATCATCATCATCAGAAATTATCCAATGGAAGGTTCTTATCCAATTATTTTGTGAAGTCCAGGCACTGAATTTCTTTGGCCAGGTAGTGTAAAAGCTCAGCACTGTGTAGAAGAAAGAATCAGTTTACCTGTTTTTGTAGACGGTGGCTCTTGTTTTATTTTGAGGAGACATCTATATTCACTCTCAAGCAACTTCAGTTTCTATGCGGAAAGAATGAAAATTTCAGCTTTAAACAGTACTGAACAGACAAACTGAGGACCATGTGCAGGGACCTGTCAAATAAACACACATCAAACAGTTTATTACATTCAGCACATGTTACCCTCTGCCTTTTCTCATGGGTGGTTGCACAGAGCGTATAGTTGGTCCAAGTCCTGTTGCTGTCTGGATGTTGAAACCACTTCCCATCTGCTCCACAGTACTTAGTTGCCTTTTCTGTAAAGAATAATTCCATCACTAAATACAGGTGCTTTTTACTATCCATCCATTCATTCATTTTCTTCTGCTCATGGATTCAAACCGAGGACCTTACTGTGTGGAAACAGTGTAACGCTTCCTCTTCTTACTTAGATGTTTAGATATTGTAACAGTTTATCAGATGAGCAAATCCTCTTGAATGTCTTTGCTCACCTGTGGGATCGAAGTCACCGAAATAATCAGGGCAGTTTCGGGAGGCGTACGTGTCCGCTGGAGTGTCATCCCAACACAACCACCCATCCCAGGTACGACTACAATACCGCCCTACACCAGGAAAAAAAAGCAAAGAAATGTTTACAGGCCCATTATTCATAAATTTGCAAGCCTGTAATGCAGATGCTGATGAATGTGATATATTGACCTGGTTTTCTATAAGGTGGATCATTCTTCATTTTCTCTTGGCATTTCTTTTCATTGTCAAGGATAATTTTCTCTGTGCTAACCCTTGGAGCCTCCGTGGTTGGCTCTGCTGCTGCATCCCTTTGAAAATCAGGGATTTCCTTCTGGGAAAGAAAAATATTAGTCTGCTGCATATAGAAACTGATGCAAGCTTTGTCTTGTTCAATCACTTTCAGAGAAAAAACAAAACAATGATCAATTACCTCTAATTTGTCCTTTAAAGTTTGTTGACAGGTAGAGCCAGTCTGGATCCAGTTACCTGATTCATCACAATATTTGGTCATTTTTTCTGTGGAAAAAAAGGGAAAAAGCCTCACTGGCAGTGCTACAACAGCATTATCCATCAATAATTTTCCTAAAAGCCTCATATACTATATTAAACGGCTTACAGGCACAGTCTACTGCTCCTGTTTGTTTAGCAGAGAGTTCAGTAGAGATTCTTTGTATGCTTTGGCTGCGTCTTTCAGTGTTTTTCAACAGTAAAACATTGGCATAGCCCAAACACATAAATCTAAACCTGAACCTTGGCATTATGAAACAAATGCATTTAACTTAGCTCGAAAAATATCATCAGAAGTTAGTCACATAGAAATGTCCCCATTTGGAATAATTGTACGGTCATTTCATATACGTCAGGTTTTATACCACATGTAGTGGAGATCCATGGCTGAACCTATCAGTGAGATCACTTTGTTCTTGACATCAACAACTGCAGTCCGACTGCCTAGACCTCTCTGGCAGCTCATTAACTGTTCAGCAACCACTTCCAACTGTACGTTTTCCCAAAGACCTCGTATCAGCAGCATCAGCTTTCAAGGAGTCATGTGGGTACCCAGGCATTTTGGGAAGATCCTTTATGAGCCGTCTCTTACAAAAATGGCTTCTCTGTTCCCACATTCATGTTCTCGCTCCCTATCCATCTGTCAGGAATCGAGCGTCCCTATATATTTTTATAATTCCTCCCTTTCTTTTCTTTTCTTTTCTTTTGCTTGTCTTTTTTTACCCTTACATATTCCTCATTCATCTCTCTGTCCTCTCCTTCACCTCTGCTCTCTTCGTCATATTGCATCTCCTAAATCAGACATGACTTGAGTCTGGAGTTCTTCAACTAGACATTATTGAACCTTGTACTACTCACAATGTAAAAACTGCACATTCTTTGGAAACGCTTAATGCTGCAATCCCAACATCCATTGTACTTATATAATCACAGTCAAATTCAATATGAATAAATCTGTTTTTCTATCCTGCCTGACTCAAAGAGTAAAGTAGGATCGTGTTTTACCTTGTTTACAGTGTATTAATCTTTTCTCTAGCATGTCATACAGAAGCAAATATGATTGGGCTTTTTCATGAATCTGCAACCAAGTAGTTATGCAAGGTTATGCTTAATCTCTACAGACTAATATCTTTATATAAGTGCACATAATCTGTAGGCAAGCGACAACATTTTTGCCATTGGAATCTTTCTGGTTTTAAATTTGTAGTGTCCAGAAGATTGGCCAATCAAATTTGAGGATTCAAGCAAATAGTTAGTACTAAGTTAAAATGTATCAACATTAATAAACAATGAATGGAATTGAATTATTGGCTTGGATATCTGCAGGTTACACCGAAACCAGTTGCACAGTTGTGCTTGAATGAAGATGGTTACCGTCTTAAGATCGTATTACTAAGCTGAGGCTGTGTGATAAACAAAAGCATTAACCTTTGACCTGAGGAGGGGATTTACGTAATACATAATAGATAATCTGCCTCAGCTAAGTTTCACATCAATCACTCTATTGCTTTATGAATAAAACTGATGATACTTAATGGCTGATGAATGGTTTCCATGCATCAACCATTAAGTTTAAGACATATGCATAACAGAATTACTTTTAGACATAAAATTCATGAAACCATACACTAAAACTAAGCAGAACTCCGCAGCTGTGAAATTTTAAGTCCTTACAGAACAAAGTTAAGCAAGCTATCTGGCCTCTGTGAGACACGATTAGCCATTTTCCCGATGTTACCCAGCAGGTCTCACTTCAGACTGCCTGTTGCTGTAAATCTAGTGAGAGATGCGAAAAACGTTCTTACCAGTCGGGTAGAGTTGAGGATGATGCGGACAATTTTGTGTTACTGATGTCCCGGCTGGTGTCTCATCCCAGCACAACAAACCATCCCACATGTAATCACAGCGCACCCCTCGAAGAAGGAAAAAAAAAAAGGGGGGGGGGGGAGTGTAATTACTATCATAAACATAATTTTTCTTACATAAGTATACTATTAAAGAAAAAACTTAAAAAGGGAAAATGTCCTTGTCTTTTCTACATTACGTTACAATTTAAAAAAAAAATTGTATTATTCATTTATTTAGTCAGAGTAATATAATGCAAAATAATGTCGCTACAGATGTGATTACGTCTTGCGGCCTAAACTTTAAAAGCCCTATTGGGCCAGTTAGCTTGCAGCAGTACCACTATCATCTTTAACAAGAACACAAACATTGTTCTGGTCCCATTCAATAGTTTTACATCACTCCACCTGCAAAGCCCTCCCAGAGTTAATGGATTTGGTCTCAAGAAGCCTGAAATTAATTTGGGACCTCTCACCAGTTCTGCTTTCTTGGCGGCCTTTGCGGGACAGCTCGAGACATTTGTATTGACCCTGGCTCAGCGCCTGCACACTTTGTCCCTCTACAATGCTCTGCTGAGGACTGAGCGAGTCTGAGATTGAGTCAGTGCCTTCCGCTGTCCTGCACTGTGGAGACAACATGAATTAGAGTTGAGAGGAGGACGTGCCCTACACTAAGTGCAATACGTGCCGTGGCCAGGGAAGCATCATTGTGTTGTTTGCGGTTTCTGCTCTGATCTACATTTCTTTGATCGTCCAAAAAAAAGGTAAATATCATCTTGAATGGTGATGTAGGTTTCAATTATAATATCTCAGAGTTTTATTATGCTTGGATAAAGATGTGCATTTGGATAAAGGATAGAAAAAAATGAGAATGGAAAGTTTTTGAAGCATCTTCAAAGCTTTTCTGATGAGGATTTCACTCTGCTTTGAAATTCTACTCACGCTCCATTTGTGTAACTCATTAAAATGTTTGCAAGCTCACAAAGGACATTAAGCAGCTGACTTTCTCCCAATGAATCTTTTCTCTGCTCTATTGTTTGTGTTTGGAGGTAACATTAAAATGGAGAGCCCGCTGTGTGAAATGCTGATTCTGATAATGCTGTTCACTGAAGGATAAAGAGCCCATCTTGCTGTGACTTATCTTCCTTCTTTTTTTGGCTGAAAATTAAGCCTCTCGAAGGCTCGTGCACTTGCATTTTCCAAATTCTTTGTGGAAATTTAGTACTTTGCTTGGGAGATTTTGTCCACATATCACAAATGAGATGCAAACCCACAATCCCCTGGTTGTCTGTGGAGGAAATACAAATTGTAACTAGATCAAAGTGTCGTCCTTACCTGTACGATAAAAAGTTTGTAAAAAAAAAAGAAAAATACAAAGCAGGTTTTTAAAAAGTGGCTTTTGTTTGAGAGCTGATGTCCCATGTAGCAGTTTAGCAGCCGTACATATGATGTCACTCCAAGCATTGAAGTAAATGACGTCATACATACGACCACCAGGCCACCACCAGTATCAACAGCTGAGCTGAATGAGAAAAAATAAAACAACTTCGCATGTCATGGTCTAACAGCTTCATCACCTACACAAGTCTTTTGTATTCAACATGACAAAACCACACAACACAGAAACACGTGGCAGACCTGCACAGGTACATCAGGCATACATATTTAGCTGGAAGACCTCGTCCTCAACTCAAGCAGAAACGCAGGCTAGGAAAGTAAACTTCCATCTCCCTGCGACATTGAAGAATACCAAATGATTTTCCATGAAGCCCGTTGACTCAAAAAAATCTGTAAAAAGTTCAAAATGTTTTTTCACCCGGTTGGTGTTGAAGATCATTTTATTAAGACCTTAATTATTCAACTAACCATAATTTGTACAAGCTCCACTTCAAAGTTTGACTTTTGATTGTAATACCTTAATAGGGCACATCATTACATGATAGAACACCATGCCAAAACATGTCATCCCTATATGACATACGGTTTGTGTTACGCTCTGTGACCGATGATTACAACAGCCCCATTAAGCTAATTGATGACATTCCTCAAAAGCTGGGGCTGGGGAAATGTCATAGCTCTCCAAGGTGCATTAAATATCTGATCCTGGTGTTCAGAAGAGCCCAAGATCAAGATTTGAGGTCAAGATCTCCATTAAGAGCTTTCTGCTGTAGACTGTTGTTTATATGGCACTGCTATTGGACATTCATATAATGTCCAGAGATTGGTTAATAATACGAGATTATTGCATTAGGTTTTATTTCCTTTATTGCCTCTATTAACCTCTAACAGGAAGTTTACCTCCTGGTGTTTTATGCATAGTGAATCTTTAATCCATCTTTGATAAAGATCACAATTTCTACTCTCCACTGCCTTTCATTATTTTTTGCTATACGTGTATAGCCTTTATTTTGAGGCCATGTACATAGCGGCACAAAAGTGGTACAAAAATAAAACCAAAACTAAAAAAGTGACTTCTTTCTGTGGCTGATGAAAGGATGTGCTGTTATCATAATGACAAATAACTTTATTAACATAGCACTTTTCAAAATTGCCATTACAAAGCGTGTTACAAGAGCAACAGAATAAATCCAGAGTAACAAACGTAAGAAATAAAAAGACAATTTAAAGCTAATTAAAGCTCAAATAAAATCGGGCAGAGCCTCGTCATTAAAAGTAACCTTGTGACTGACTTCCCCAATCCTGTTCCAGAATGCAATCGTGCGGTTAAGTGCTTTAGACAATGAGACCGTTTTTGTTATTTTGACTCTGAGCACCAACACAATGGATTTTAAATCAAACAAACAAGATGTGATTGAAGTGCAGACTTTTAAATCAAGGTTTTACAAAAGTATTGTATTAACTGTTTAAAAATCACAGACATGTCTATACATCGCCCCCAGGCTTCAGAGGCTCAGAGTAATTGGACAGTTGACTGGCAAGCAGTTCCATCTTCCCTCATTATTTTTTTTTATCACAAATTAAGGAGATAAAACATCTGGAATTAATTCAAAGCGTTGAACTTTAATTTGGTAGCTGTTCACTTTAGCTCTCCAAAGAGGAAAAAAGAGATGTCGATATAAAGACAAAGATCATCATTAGGATTGAAAAACCAAAATAAACTTAACAGAGAGAGAAAAAAAAAACTTTAGAAGTGACCAAATCAGCAATCTGGTGATTCTTAAACAGAAGGAGCGCAGAGGCCAGCTCAGCAACACCAAACGGCCTGAAAGACCACAATGATGTGGATGATCACAAAATAATTTCCATGGTTAACAACAGCATCCAATACAACAAGGTGAAAAACACTGGTTAACGCTCAAGAAAAAGAAGTCCCGACTCTGCTAGAAAATACCTTAAAGACCCCATTGAGCAGATGGACGGATGAAAACAAAGATATTGAGGAGAAAAACAGCTTGAGTGTATTGCATCATCTGTCAAACACAGTGGAGGAAATGTTATTGCATGGGCATGAATGGCTGCCAGTGGAGCTGGGTCACTGGTGTTTACTGATGGCGTGACTGCTGATGGAAGCAGCAGGATGAATTGTGAAGTGGACAGGGCTATATTCTCTACTCAGATTTAACCAAATGCTGCAAAACCGATCCAACAGTGCACCACAGTGGACGTGGATAATGACCCAAAGCTTACTGCAAAAGCAACCCAAGAATTTCTCAAGGCAAAGAAAAGGAGTATTCTTCAATGGCCAAATCATTCACCTGAATCTCTGCCTCCACTTATGAAAACTGAAAACAGAAAGACCCGCAGTATGTCATGGTCCCCCTGTCCTCTCAGGTTCTGAGTTTCTTTCATTCTTTTAATAATTATAACAGCTTAGATTTGTACAGCACCTTTCAAGAAACCCAAGGACGCTTTACAAAAGAGTATAAACAAACGATCTTCTCCATTTGCTCCATCTCTCTTCTCTCTATCGTGTGTGTGGGCTTGAGTATTAACTTTGTTTACTCCTCCCACAAGTAGATCCTCATCTGCTACCAGCAGCAGTATATAACCCTTGTTCTCCTCTCTGTTTCTTGTAGGAATGACTAATTTAGACCTCTTACCTTGTTTGCTTGTTAACTTGGTGACCAGTGCGCCATACTTACCTGACCTGTCCTCCTTTTTTTGCAGATTGTGTCCTGGTGTGCCTGCCTGACTTACTCTTTTTCTCACAAAAAATACTTACCTGTGGGTTTGGAGGGAACTTACCTGCACTAGCGTGTGTGGAAAATATGTCGCAGTAAACACAGCTGTGGAAAACAGAATTTTACCTGCAGTTCTACTCGTGAAAGCAACCAAAACCAAGCTCTGCCTGCAAGCTGAGAGAACAGTGAACAAGTGGTAACTGGATTTGAACCTACAAAAAGAGAAAGATTTGAAACCCAGTGTTTCAATATCAACTTTAGTAGTGTTGCGAAACGCTGTAAATACTTACCTGCTGTGAATTCAAGAGTGTTAATCAAAGCCTTTGAACTTTTTCCAGCCTGTTGCACCAACCATGAAAAAGCAAGTGACGGCTACTGCAGTAAAGGCCTGGCAGAGCATCTCAAGGGAGGAATCCTAATTTGTCCAATTATTTTTGAGCCTCTGAAAATGGTGTGCTATGTATGAAGATTTAATGTAACACAAATAATAAATTAAACCTCTTACACTAAAGCTGAAAGTCACGCTTAAATCACACCTTTTTGATCTTTTGATTGGAAATCCACTAAAATATTCATAAGTTTAAGAAATGACTTGTCCAGTGTGTCTTTTTGCATCTGAAGATGTCATTTTACATTAAAACTGTTGTGATCTTCTGCATAAAGGGCAAGGATCAGCTATATTTTGAAGCAGAAAATGCACATCTATACATATATATACTTGGCTCATTTATATTGGGGGATATTTAAACTGGGGTAGTTCTACAGTTAATTTTACAGGGTGAGTGAATTTGCTGGTTAAAGAAAACCACTAGACCACAACATATTATACATCCCTTTAATGAGAATTGAATCTTGTTCAGGAAACATGTACAGCATACAAAATTGGCAAAGTGAGAGATAGGGCCTTCAGAAATATATGCCATTGTACATCCTTGTGTAAAAAGTGAGCTTACCACCAGGAGAAACCAAAGGATCCAAATGGAGCCCATTAACCTCATATCTTCCTCTCACAGGGAGATCTCTAGAGAGAGGGAGGAGAACAACATGTTAAACCTATCAGAAAAATAAATTGTCTACCGTGAAGGTGACTGACTAAACAAACAGTGTGCTGTTTCAAATCAGGATTACAGCTTCTCAGGAGAAAACAGTCACAGCAATCAGTCATCTGAAATGCAAAACACTGCAGCAGCGCTGCAGTTTGTGACATTCCACACTCCTCGCCTTTGTGCGCGTGCCTGGGAGATGGTGAGACGGCGTGTCTGTCAGGATGCGAAACAATGGCATAAAAGGAGCAACTTTACATAGTGAGAGCAAAAAGAATGACGAAAAGCAGAAACACATTCGGACCGAAATAGTTGATGCTCATTAATCATTTTGCGCTGAGCCTCTAGCTCCGCAGGACGACAGGAGCTGGGCGGACGGTTCAGTAACCGAGTGCATGTGAGATTAAAATTCTCTTCAGGTCTCTTTTCTCAGGCTAACAGAGTCCCTGTTGAAAACCCATCATTCTGCAGTTTGAACAGTTACAATGACCCACTGGTGTTCTCCACACCCCACAGTGGCCCAGGGGGTACGATACGCATGCATGAGCCAGTCCAATAAATCACCATGAAAGGACAATTTATAGTATTTGTTTGGCTTCAGAGGCACACGGATGGTAGGCTACTTAGCTTTAGGATGACAAACATACCTGGATCTGCCAAGAGTGTAAGTCTAGCGATGCTGATGTCTGAACAGGAATCCCTTGAATCTTTTCCAGTTCTTATGTTTCGACGTTTCACTGGTTTCCTTTGATGTGACCTGTTAGTGTTAGACTTGATTTGAACATTTTATTGCTGGCTTTTAAAGCCCTTCATGGTCTGACTCCTGTCTATACCTATGAGATGTTAACTTCATATGATCCGGGCCGCTGCTTGACATCTTCTGACCGGGCCTTTGTTAACGGTTCCAAAGGCTTTCATTAAGACAATGGGAAACCAAACTTTTTCTTTCTGTAAATCTCTTTTTGAATCACACGGTTTATCATTCAGTTTTCTATAGCTGCTCATGGCTTTATCAAATCTTTTTCACTTTTAAGACCCAAAGACTGTATCCTTCTTTTTCTTTTGATTTTTAAGTTATGTTGAATTGTTTTTAACTCTAACTCTAAATAAAAGTATTTTGCAAAATTTTACAGCTTACAGTTTGTGATTGAGAAAACAGGAAATGTTTTCTACCAGTCCCTTTGTGGAAATACATGCTGACATTTACTGACTAGTTATATGTATATATATATGTATATATATAAAGTAAGTTTTATGCTCATGGCCACAGATTTTTTGATAATGCAAATCGAGTGTAAACCAAAGCTCAGTAAACACAAATGACACAACACAATAAGAC